CATTTTGGAAACAAAAATTCATTTTGGAAACAAAATATGAATGCAGAAACAAATTGAGATACACACAGAAGTGTTTTGTTTTAGTTCCATCAAACGTTAGAAGAGAAAATGGTAAAAAATTATAATGAAAAAACAAAATTATTCTAGATTTTACCCAACTTGTTCATTTGAGATTTTCCTGGACTTGGAATGTCCACCAAATTTTTTCAAAAACAAATTTTTTATCTGCTGCTAAAATGTCTCGCCGTGCGATTTCGTGCTGTGCGAGTCATGGGGAATAAGGATATGTCCTGAGTCCCCAGGATGCAAGGATGAAAATTTCCGAATTCCCCGAAAAAAAAATGCCCAGCTGACCGCATAAGGAAAGGGCTACTTTTTGGGTTTTATTTGGCTGTATCCTGCTGGTAAATGAGGGGTGGGATCCAAGAATACTACCCTCTCCTGTTTTTTGTTTTGTTTTTTGGTCTTCTCCTGACTAGTAATTTATGCTCTTTTGTTGCTTTTTTCCCCCAGCAATGTAGTTCCCAGATCTGGTGGTGGGAGTCATCTGCACCCTCCCTCCTTTTTTTTTCTTGTTCTTCCTCCTCCTCCTGAGTTGTGTAGCCGCCACCGCCGCCGCAAAAGCCGCCACTGCTGTGTTGTCGGTATAAAAATCCCGGACCCGTCACCAGGAAGCATCAGTCGCTCGTTGAACCAGTTCAGCAAGAAAACCCAAAGCGGTTATATTTTTTGAAACCTCAAGAAACTCAACCCAACCCAAGTCAACATGAAATACTTTGTGAGTTGTTTCATTTTTTTCTGTTCCTTCTTGTGTGTGTGTGTGTGTGTGTGTGTGCATTTAAAAAGAAAATTTATTAAATGTTCACATTATTATTAAACACCAAAATAGGTTCATTAAATTGTTGAAATGTTGAGAGTAATTTTATTCTTGCTTGGGGTTTTTTTTTCGTAATTGTATCGTAAATCGTATCCTTGAAATTTGGATTTTTCTTTGATGATTCTCCCAGCTTTTTTTTTTTTGGTACCTCAGTTTTTTGTCATGTTCATAAACTTTTTTGAAAGCCAATTATACTACATTCAGTGGTCAACTGTTCGATCATGCATTTCTGAACTGAAGAACCATTTTTTTACTGGAAATTTTCGCAATGGTCTCAATTTTCCAGCCAACGAAAATTTGCTCGACTGCGAAATTTGATGTTTCAAGAAAAGCAATTGATGTATATTTAGATCAAAATTAGGCCGAAAGAATTTAAACTTGGAAAGGTATGTTTCTTCAAAAATGTTTTGGAATAAATGCTATTTACGGAAAACCCTTCAAATCTGAACGAAAATGAAAAAAAGCATTGATATGAATTGATTAATTATTATTTAAAAATCATTTTGAAAGCTTCGTCTTCTATAGATGTTGTCTATACAGAATGACGATACAATCACCAGTCTCTGAGAGATACTATTCAGGATATTCTCAAAGGGTCTGCTATTTCTGTTAGAAACTTAATTTTTGTGACGCGAAAAAAATGTGACGATTCAAAATATTTTGTATATGATTTTCATTGAGTGACAAAAACATGTGTTGGTGGTGCACATTAATTTGAAACAATTAATTGACTCATTCAGGTTCAGTCTTCCAAGGTTCTCAGTGGAAATAATTCCCAAACTTTTGTATAAATTTTGAAATCATTCTTTTATTTATATATTTTTTTATTACTTAGAAATCATATCAGAATTTTTTGTTTGGGGAACAAAAGAAGAATTGCAGGAAATTGTGATTGGTTATATATTCTGGGCCTTGAATTTCTTCTTGAATGAGTTGACAGGATGCTGAAGTTGGAGGCAAGAGTTTGTTATTCCCAATTAGTCTGCCACATCCTTTCAAAACACATCAAGCTAAATTTTATTGCATTTCCCTTTCCTGTGTCAATGAAATGATAGCCAAAAAGGACTTCATCAGTAAATTTGAGTTAGTTAGGTTTATGATGCATTGTTCATCAGGGAATTCAGACAGCTACTTGAACTAAAAAACAGCTTGGGTAGTTTTCCAATTTAAGGAGGGTTGAGCTATGGAGGTTCAACTCCTGTAAATTAATTTAAAATAAACTAACCTTTTTTTAATATGGATTATTTCAAAAAAGTTTTGACCAATTGAGGTGTGATAGTGAGAGAGGTTTTTGATGCATTTTTCCTCAGGTAATTTGAGAAAGGACTTGTAAAAATAAGATTGGTGTTGGTAGTTTTTTTACTCTAAATAGCTGGGAGGTTCACTTTATCATGATTCACTTCATGCACATTATCATTTTCAAGTAAAAAATTTTTAATTTTTTTGTGTCAGGGATGTTTCAAAAAAGTTGTTTGAGAGATTTTGGAAAGGGGACCATTTAAAAAATTCTAAAATAAGTACTGTTTGACTCGGGAAGGCTCAAGTTATGAAGGTTCAACTGTAGATTCATTTTTTGATACACCTCTTAATCAAACAAGTTTTGAGTTAAATGGAGGCTTGATGGGGAAAGCTTTTGAGTTAGCAAAGTTTTTCCACATGCACTGTTCCCAACTCAAGTAAACTAATTTAAAGATACTACAAAAAACTTTTTGGGACTTCAGAAAAAGTTTGCTAAAATGAATAATTTGTTATGACAAGATTTTCAAAAAATTTGACTTATTGGAAGATTTAAAAAAGTATAACCTGCATTCCTTCTACACCTTCCTTTTGTGGCCTTTTCAAATGTGTTTCAGTGTTTATGAATGCATGAACAGAACACTTTCTTTGCCAGTTTTCAGCATTCACAAGGCACAACCAAGACTCCCGCATACAAACCCCCTCCCAACCCAACCCAACTCCCCCCAAAGAAATTCAATCACTTCAAAGCATGAAACAAAGCACAAATCCATGACAAAAACAAAAGAGAACACACTCCACAAAATAAAAGTGTTTAAGAAATTGTGATCGTCAAAAAGAAATTTAAATGTTCAACAACAAACATTTGCTCTGAATTACAGGTAAACACTATATAGTAGATTTTATTGCTGACTAAGTTTTTCCAAGCAATTCTTGCACTTATTTATAAGAGCATGGATGTTCCAAAAAAAGCTTGCAATTTTCAAGCACCAGCAGCAGTATATGGTTTCTCATACACACACAGATCCTTCAACATGAATTTTTCTGGGTTCATTTTTTTAAAAATGTAAATTGATGTCAAAAGAGTCATTTATTATTCTTTTTAGTAAGGAAAAACATGCAGAAATGATTTCCCTTGTTTGTTTTGTTCAGGCCGTGCTCGCCATGCTCGCCGTCATCTGCGCCGCCGCCTTCGGCGCCGAAGAAGAGAAGCCCAAGGACCTCGAGGGACTGGTAGTTGATGGGGTCCAGACCAGCAATTTGGAGGATATCCTCAGGATCTTCTTGAAACTTTTCCAATTGTTCAGAAGCCTTCTGCAGGATGCAGAAGTAACCTTGCCTCAGGGGAAGCCACTCACAAATTCTTTGGTCTGCAAGTGGATTTTCCAGGCAAAGTTCTGATTCCAGGCTTTGCTCTAGTGCCAGGAGGTGATGGCGCAGACTAGCACCATCCCTCTGCAGTGACAGCAGGTCTTTGTAGCCATTTGGGTTTTGTGGCTTAGCAGCAGCTGCCTCAATCTGTGCCAGTTCAGCAGAGATTGACATTTCTCTTAATTTTCCTTGTGTGTTTACCATTCCAGGTCTCTAGCCCACACAAGAGTGGAATTTGGCTCTGATAAGAGTGTTTTGTGCTCAGGGTTTAACAGATCACTTCAGATAAATGTGCAATGCAAGAACTGAGTAATGGAGTCACTGAACTAAGGGGCACACAGCAGTTTGCCACAACCAGGTTGCTGCAGCAAGAGGTTCACACACAGTCTTGATCACCAAAGTCAGCAGCAGGGATGATCTTGGGCAGACCAACTTCAGTAATTTGGTTAACACTGACTCACTTCCTATAAGTTCACTGGTTGTTGTAGAACTGGTTTAGAGGACCACTTAATTGTTGTGCCTAGAATGAGTGGCTACAAGCAATTGTGAGCTAAGGTCTTGAAACTCCAAATTTTAGAGGTGGGTGTCCATTTGAAAGTATTTTTTTTTTGCTGATTACATACATCCAAACTACAAACACCAGTCAATCAATTTTACTATAGAACATTTTAAATTATGTCTGCCTAAGTTGAACAATGTTTAGCTGCTGCAGAATCCATCAAGGATTTCCCAAACAGCCTTGTTATAATGGAATTGGGTTGTTTTTTACAATCAGATTGTTTTCACATGTTCTCTATGGGCTTAAACCCTTGTGCAGCAATTTTGGGATATTTTTGGGGGTACTGGGTCATCCGCCAGTTGGTCAAATCACGGTTGCGCACCCGCCAGTCGTCAAGCGCCAGTCGGTCCAACGGCCAGCCAGGGCAGTCCTTGGCCTTGCCAATCCCCAGTCCACCAAACTGTGGTCTGGTCACCCAATTGTTGGGGCACCCAAACCATTGAATGACAAGAATCAAGCTGATTATTTCTAGAATTCTGTTATCCTACAACAGATTACTATTTTTTTTTACAAAATTTCATCTTATAAAAGTTTTCACAAAAATAAAAAACTCATCAAACCCAACCTAACTTAACCTAACATATCCTAACCTAACCTAGCCTAAACTAACACAATATAAACTGACCTAACCTAACCTAACCTAATATTGCTGAAATTTTGAAAGAAAAGAAATCTGTGGTAGGATACCATTCTGCTCACTGAATTCTGAAAAAAAATCAGCATGATTCTTGTCACCCAATTGTTTGGGTGCCCCAACAATCGGGTGACCAAACCGCAGTTTGGTGGGCTCAGGATTGGCAAGGCCAAGAACTGCCCTGGCTGGCGGTTGGACCGACCGGCGCTTGACAACCGGCTGGTGCGTGACCCTAAATTGACCAACCGGCGGCTGACTGGACACAATTTTTGGGAAATGTTGTACTACTGAGCACTGGAGTTAATTAGAAACTCCTACTTTTGTACCAAGGCCTAAGTTGGGAGAAAGTCATATGCTTGTTTCTAATCCTGCAGAAAAATGTTCATGAAAAAAGACTCCCTCATCACTGGAAGTTGCTTTTTCCTGCATTCCTGGCATAGGATTTGCATGAGAGAATCCTGAAAAGAATAGAAAATTTGCCACCCAGATTTATTCCTTGACCTATGCCCTCTCAACCTGGGAGAATTTCAGTGACCTTTTGGAAACAAAATATGAATGCAGAAACAAATTGGGATACACACAGAAGTGTTTTGTTTTAGTTCCATCAAGCGTTAGAAGAGAAAATGGTAAAAAAATACTAATGAAAAAAACAAAATTATTCTAGATTTTACCCAACTTGTTCCTTTGAGATTTTGCTGGACTTGGAATGTCCAGCAAATTTTTTCAAAAATTTTTTTTTATCTGCTGCTAAAATGTCTCGCCCTGCGATTTCGTGCTGTGCGAGTCATGGGGAATAAGGATATGTCCAGAGTCCCCAGGATGCAAGGATGAAAAATTCCGAATTCCCCGAAAAAAAAAATGCCCAGCTGACCGCATAAGGAAAGGGCTACTTTTTGGGTTTTATTTGGCTGTATCCTGCTGGTAAATGAGCGGTGGGATCCAAGAACACCACCCTTTCGTGTTTTTTTGTTTTTTGGTCTTCTCCTGACTAGTAATTTATGCTCTTTTGTTGCTGTTTTCTCCCCAGCAATGTAATTCCCAGATCTGGTGGTGGGAGTCATCTGCACCCTCCCTCCTTTTTTTTCTTGTTCTTCCTCCTCCTCCTGAGTTGTGTAGCCGCCACCGCCGCCGCAAAAGCCGCCACTGCTGGGTTGTCGGTATAAAAATCCCAGACCCGTCACCTGGAAGCATCAGTCGCTCGTTGAACCAGTTCAGCAAGAAAACCCAAAGCGGTTATATTTTTTGAAATCTCAAGAAACTCGAAAAAACCCAACCCAAGTCAACATGAAATACTTCGTGAGTTGTTTCATTTTTTCTGTTCCTTCTTGTGTGTGTGTGTGCATTTAAAAATAAAATTTATTAAAAGTTAACATTATTATAAAATGCCAAAATCGGTTCATTACATTTTTAAAATGTTTAGAGTAATTCTATTCTTGCTTGGGGCTTTTTTTCGTAATGGTATCGAAAATCTTATCCTTGAAATTTTGATTTTTCTCTGAAGATTCTTCCAGCTTTTATTTTTTACCTCGGTTTTTTTAAATCTTCATACACTTTTTTGAAAGCCAATTACTATATTCAGTAATCAACTGTTTGATCATGCTTTTCTAAACTGAAGAATCTTTTTTTTTACCGGAAAATTTCGCAATGCTCTCAATTTTCCAGCCAATGAAAATTTGCTCGACTGCTGCGAAATGTGGTGTATCAAAAATAAGTACTTGATTTTTATTTAGATTTTAAAGAATAGGCTGGAAGAATTCAAAGTTGGAACGATTTGTTTCCTCAAAAATGTTTCGGAGTAAATGCTATTTAAGGAAACCCCTTCAAATGTGAATGAAAAGAAAAAACAACATTGATATTAATTATTATTTAAGAATCATTTTGAAAGCTTTGTCTTCTAGATTTTGTCTACAGAGTGACGATACAATCACCAGTCTGTGAGAGATAATATTCAGGATATTCCTAAAGGGTCTTCTATTTCTGTTAGAAACTTAATTTTTGTGACGCGAAAAAAATGTTATTATTCAAAACATTTTGTATATGATTTTCATTGATTGACAAAAACATGTGTTGGCGGTGTACATTAATTTGAAACAATTCATTGACTCTTTCAGGTGTAAACTTCCAAAGTTCTCAGTTGAAATAATTCCCAAACTTTTGTATAAATTTTGATATCATTCTTTTATTTATATATTTTTTATTACTTAGAAATCATATCAGAATTTTTTGTTTGGGGAACAAAAGAAGAATTGCAGGAAATTGTGATTGGTTATATGTTCTGGGCCTTGAATTTCTTCTTGAATGAGTTGACAGGATGCTGAAGTTGGAGGCAATTGTTTGTTTTTCCCAATTAGTCTGCCACATCCTTTCAAAACACATCAAGCTAAATTTTTATTGCATTTCCCTTTCCTGTGTCAATGAAATGATAGCCAAAAAGGACTCCATCAGTAAATTTCAGTTCTGAAGGTTTATGATGCATTGTTTATCAACAGACACTTAAAGAAAAGAAAAACAGCTGGGGGAGTTTTCCAATTCAAGGAGCTAGGTTTGAGCTATAGAGGTTCAACTCCTGTATATTAATTTCAAAATAAACCTTCCCTTTTTTTTAATATGCAGTATTTCAAAAAAGTTTGGAGTAATTGAGGTTTGATAGTGAAAGAGGTTTTTGATGCATTTATTGTTCCTCAGGTAATTTAACAAAGGACTTGTAAAAATAAGATTGGCGTTGGTAGTTCATTTGACTCTATATAGCTGGGAGGTTCAATTTATCATGATTCACTTCATGCACATTATCATTTTCAAGTTACAAATTTTTACTTTTTTGAGTCAGGGATGTTTCAAAAAAAGTTGTTTGAGAGATTTTGGAAAGTGGACCATTTAAAAGTTATAAATAAGTACCTTTTGACTCAGGAAGGCTCAAGTTATGAAGGTCCAACTGTAAATTAATCTGGTGATACACCTCTTATTCAAAAAAGTTTGGAGTTAAATGGAGGCTTGATGGGGGAAGCTTTTGAGTTAGCAAAGTTTTTCCACATGCACTGTTTCCAACTCATGCTAATTAATTTCAAGATAAAGTAAAATTGTGTTACAAAAAACTTCTGGGAACTTCAGAAAAAGTTTGCTGTATGTAGTGAATGATTTGTGATTACAAGATTTTCAAAAAATTTGACATATTGGAAGATTAAAAAAGAATGACCTGCATTTATTCTACATCTTCCTTTTATTGTGGCCTTTTCATGTGTGTTTCAGTGTTTAGAAAACTATGATGATTGAAAATAAATTTAAATGTTTAACAATTAACAAAAATTTGCTCTGAATAACAGGTATGAACACTAGTAGATTTTATTCTTGACTAAGTTTTTCCAAGCAATCCGTGCAGTCATTTATATAAGGATAGATATTCCACACAAAAAAAGCTTGCTATTTTCAAGCACCAGCAGCAGTACGGTTTCTCAAGCACACAAAGACCCTTTAACATGAATTTTTCTGGGTTCATTTTTTTCATTTTGTAAATTAATGTCAAAAGAGTCTTCTATTAGTAAGGAAAAACATGCAGAAATGATTTCCCTTGTTTGTTTTGTTCAGGCCGTGCTCGCCATGCTCGCCGTCATCTGCTCCGCCGCCTTCGGCGCCGAAGAAGAGAAGCCCAAGGACCTCGAGGGCGCCGAGTCCTACCTGGGCTACGGCGGCTACGGCTACGGCTACCCGTCCTACGGCTACCGGTCCTACGGCTACGGCTACCCATCATACGGATACGGACACGGCTACGGCTATGGCGGCTACAAGCCATACGGTCTCTACCGCAACTACTGGTGAACAATTCACGGAAAAAACCCCGTCTGATTCCTGCTGATATGAACCAAAACCAACCCACGACCTTTTTCGGCATTTTTTTTTTTTTTTGCGTGTGTGTTTTTTCGTTTCTTCTTTTTTTCGCAAACGAAGGAAAAAAGTTGAGGAAAAAACTTTTTTGTTTTGTTTGAAGATGATGATGACAAGGGAAAGAGGATAAGGAGAAATGCGTTTTCCCGCATCTTTCTTCTTCCTTCCTGGGTTATTGTCAAACATCAGTGAATGATGATCAGAGAGAACCGATGATGCAGGTTTTCTACGTTTTTTTCCACCCTGTGCTATTGAAAGACCAAATAAAAAATGCGTCCACTGTGTGCTATCACTTCTCAAAAACTGTGTTGATTCAATTTTCTTGATCACTTCAGAATAAAAAAAATGAAAGAAAATGAAATAAACAGTGTCACTGAAGAACAGTGAAATCTCCTTACAAAAATACTGTTACACCAAATGTTTCAGTACAGTATAAGAAACTTTTCAACCGTTGGACAGCAGAGGGTTACTTTGCATTGTGGGGTAGAGTCAGGATTTTTTTTAAGGGGAATGGCACATTTCACTTGGGCCCAAGGTCACTGAAATTCTCCCAGGTTGAGAGGGCATAAGTCAAGGAATAAGTCTGCTTGAATGTCCCATCTGCTTTGGTGACTGGCAGAGTTTGTCCTTCCTAGGCATCAAATTCATGGAATCCAGGAACCTTTTCCTCCTCATGGAATTCCTTCAGGATGGAGGTTGAGTTAGAGGCCCACTTGTGCAGCTTGAAACCTTGTTTGGACAGTGCTTCAGCCAGCCTTTTGGATCAGCAACAAGAGATTGTTGGTGGTCTCCTCCCACATAG